AACAATGTCATTACCCATATGACCCGTAAAATCGGTGGTCGCCCTGGTCGTGTCACATATAAAAGGTTCCTCTCACCATTATTGTTTTTTTCAACCAATGTTCTGTACTATAAAAAATTCGTTTACCATTCTATTTTTTTCAACCAACATTCTTGATCACATCACGACAACTAAAACCTATTGTTACTTTTACTATATCCTCTTTGGTCACTTGAGAATTTCGTTGTTTTCTCTGTTGGCAAGACGAATCCGCAGACAAACAAGAGGCCTATCGAAACTACTGTACTTACTTGTGAGTGCTTTACAAAAGCTTGCAATCGTGCCAGAAAGCTTTTTGATAATAGGAAGGTTAGTTCACAATACATTAGCAAAAAAACTTGCCCGTAATACTTTCTACATCCGAAACCATTAGAACCTTAGTTTTTTTTTTATTTTACTATTTGTGAAACATTTTCTTACCTGATTTTTTATTCCAATAAAGACCGATAAGAGACATATAGAAAACAGGGTCAATATTAGTGAGCAAAAGTTTTGAAGGATGTTACAAATAAGGGCAGAAAAAGGTGAAGCATAGTTGTGGATGCTCCTGAAGCCACTGTCTTATACAAAAAGAAGAAGGTCAACTTACTCGATCAGGCATTGTCTTATGTTTCGCCGCCCGCCATATACCCATCGGATGCAAGTATTTCGGAAAGCGTAACATCTATAAATGGTATTTGGCCGCCAACGAGATTACAGCATTGGAGTGAGTTTCTTAATAATGTAATTAGCTTCGCTTCGATGAGGAGCCAGATAAGTACGAGAAGCCCAAGTTCACGAAAGGGCTGAAGATACGCGTAGAGCCAGATGTTGACACTATAGCAAATGTCAATATCTACCATAATCTGAATACATTAATGGACCCATGCTACGAGTTTTCTAAGCAAAAGAACTCCGATTTCAAGGCCGGTGACCCCAATATTGGTAAAGGGATACCCGATTATACATGCCGGGTATTTAGGAATGGTGATGGGAAAATCGTCATTCCTATAGAAATCAAGAGAAATCTCGTAGTGGAATCACTAATCAATGATAAAGAACTGGCGCTGAAAAGTCGTTGGAATCAACCTCTCCGACGGTGCTTAAGTCCTACGCGTATCTGGCCTATCTCGCGGCAAGGGATCCTACGTCACCCCATCCTAACACAATTCCGGACCGAACTAGAAGCGTACGACACGCAATTTGACTTTCTTGTTTTAATTTTTTTTTTGTTTTTAATTTCATCTTGTTTTTAATTTCATCTTGTTTTTTTAATTTCATCTTGTTTTTTAATTTCTTGTTTTTAATCTCGTTTTTTAATTTCTTTTTTTTTTTTTAAAAAAAAAAATTACTATTTTTTTTTT